TTTTTCGAGATAGGGTTTCTCTGTGTAGCTTTGGAACCACTCCTGGCACTCACTCTGCAGACTAGGCTGCCCTGGAACTCACAGAGATCACCAGTTTCTGCCTATGCCTCCCAAGTGCTGCGACTAAAGGCATGAGCCACTACTGCCCGGCAAAATACAAGTTACGAGTTTTGTTTATTTTTTTCGGACAGGGCCTGACTGTCTACACGGGCTAGCCTCAAAGACACAGAGATTTACCTGCCTCTGCCTCACGAGTGCTAGGAGTAAACAGCAAATATGGAGTCCTGGCAAAAATAGCATTTTACTGTTATATGTTTTAAATCCTTTTAAGGAAAAGGCAGTATCATTATATTCTTCTTTGGGGGGATGGAAGTAACATGGAATTGAACCCAAAGTCTCAAATATGCTAAGAATTTACTCTACTACTGAGCTACAACCCCAGAATTCTTTTGATTTAAAAAAAAAAAAAACCCTATTAGAAAGTTTAAAAAGCTTAAATTTAAGCCAGGCATGTGGCACATGCCTTTAATTCCAGCATCAGGTGGCAAAGTCCAGCCTGATCTACACAGACAAACCCTGTCTCAAAACAAACAAAAAACAACAACAAAAAACTAATCACCCACCAACAAAAATTTTCTAAACTTCCTAATGTGATTTAACTGTCATCCATGATTAATAATCACTATTGTTAAGTATTACCAGGACCAGGCGTTGGTGGCGCATGCCTTTAATCCCAGCACTTGGGAGGCAGAGGCAGGCGGATCTCTGTGAGTTTGAGGCCAGCCTGGTCTCCAGAGCAAGTGCCAGGATAGGCTCCAAAGCTACACAGAGAAGCCCTGTCTCGGAAAAACCAAAAAAAAAAAAAAACCAAAAAAAAAAAAACAACAACAAAAAAAACCTATTACCAGAAAAATAGAGAGAAGTTACTGAGATTTAATATAAGATAATGTCTATATTTTACAGTACTTGAAACTTCCATTTCTAAGAGACTATGAAGTTTATTCTAACATAAAATGGAGTTAGTTAATACAGAATTTTCTATAATATACTTACATGATTCATCCTGTAAGGAAATTCCTTTGGAAAGGCATATGAAAATCTAGTTTTTACTATAAGAAACAAAACAAAACAATTAAAACCAAGAAAATGCCAACATGAAATTTGTTCAAAATGTCTTTAATGTAGCATAAAATGTTAGAAGGTATGCTGTATTTATTGCTTACAGGAGGAGCTCTCACAAATACTTCAAAAGGCATAAATACATAAGTGTATTTATAAACAAATACATAAATACACTTATGTATTAATTTATTGCTTTTTAGATTTTGAGACAAGGGATCATTATGTACCCTTGGCTGGCCTGGAACCTGCTATGTAGGCTAGGCAGGCCTCAAGGTAATAGAGACCTGTTGGCCTCTGCCTTGGGCTGGTATTACAGGCATGCACCACCACACCTTGTCAAAACACATTTTAATAAAAGCAGCATGATACATGCAAAGTCCCTAGGTCATTTTCTTATACAACATAGTTACCGTTTGTAGTCACTTATAAAGCACAAATGAAAAACCACTGTTAACTATCACCTCAACAAGTTATGAGTTACACATACTTACTACTGAGAAAATTGTATTCCAGTCATTAGGTTCAAATACTCAAACCAATTAAGGTAGCAACGGGCAGTTCCAGCAGCTCTGGTTTATAATTTCTTCCATTGGTACAAGTGACTTCTTTCACTAAACTAAGAGGAATTCTGTGCATTTTATGTATTACATTTCAACAAGGAAAATAATGTCTGTACAGGACTGGCATAGTGGTGCATGCTTTTAATCTCAGCAATTGGGAGGCAGGCTAATCTCTGAGTCTGAGGCCAGTCTGGTCTAGATCCCATTTCGAAAAACTTTGTGATTGATACATATCATTAAGCCTGGACTTAGAGACACCTAACACCTCCAGCGAGATTAGATTTACATTATGATGTCAGCTTCTACCCCACTTAATGCTAAAATGGTAAAATCCACTTTTGTTTGTTGTTTTTTTTTTGAGACAGGGTTTCTTTGTATAGCCCTGGCTGTCCTGGAACTCACTCTGTAGACCAGGCAGGCCTTGAACTCAAGAGATCCACCTTACTCTACCTCCCAAGGGCTGGAATTAAAGGTGTATGCTACCACCACCAGATCCACATTTTAAAAACATACTATTTATCCTGTGTTTGTGCATGCACACACATGTACACCATAATGTGAGTGCAATTCAGAGGACATTTTATAGGCCCTAGGGATCAAACCCAGGTCATCTGGTTGAGCCACCTCTCCAAGGCTAGGCAGTAAAATTCTCTCTCAAAAAAATTAAAACAAAACAGATAATTTGCACGCTTAAGTCCTAATCCCTACTACCTCAGAAGGGGATTATACCTGGAGAAACCTTTACAGCAATGAAGAGGTTTAGTAGTTAAGAACACTCACTGCTCTTGCAGATGACCAGAGTTCAGTTTTCAACCCATGTGAGGCAGTTCACATCTGCCTGTAACTACAGCTTCAGGGAATGCAACATTCTTTTTTGTCTTCTTCAGATGCCCATATGCACATGCACAGGCAAACACTAAACACATACATAACTCATTTTTTAAAAGAGGTAAAGGTTAAATTAGGTCATAAGAGTGGGACGTAATTCTACAGGAATGCTTGATGTGGTTTGACATAAAATATCTCCATGACTCATGTTGAAGGCTAAGCCATAGCTGGAGGATGCAATCACTGACAGGTGGTATTTCACTGAATCACTGAAAGATGAAGTTTCTGAACACTGATGGAATCATAACTGAACATCCAAATGGGAGGTGGTAGAGCTGTGGTGGTAGGGTCTAATTAGAGGACGAGGATCCCTGGCAGATTGTCACTCAAGAAATACTTCTCGACCTCAGTCTCCTCCACTCTTTCTGCTTCTTGGCCATCATGACATAAGTACTCTCCTCTGTTACACCCTTTTATTGTGACATTTCTGCCTCACCAGAGGCCTAACAATGATGGGAGCAGCAAACCACAGACAGAAACTTCTGAAGGTATGAGTCAAAACGAACCCTTCCTTTAAAACTGCTTCACAAAAAAAAAAAAAAAAAAAAAAAAAGCCAACAACTAAAACTGCTTCACTCAATACAGCTCATTATTATTATTTTTTTTTTACCACTGAAAAGGATTATTTTAAACTAGGCATGGTAGCCCACACCCATAATCTCACCAGGAGATTAACAATCCTTCTTGGTAGGTAGAAGCTGGAAAAGCCCAAGTTTCACATAAGACGCTGTCTCAAAAAAAAAAAAATATCATAACGAAAGTAAAAAATGTGTTGTATAGGCTGGAGACTTGGCTTGGCTCAGTGGTTAAGAATTCTTCTTGTTGCTGAGGACCCAGGTTCAATTCCCAGCATCCACAAGGAGGCTCACCACCTCCCTAGGCACCAAGTCCTGTTGGGACCCTGCTGGGTGACCTAAGGTGCCCTTGGAGTTCTCTGTCCACTTCGAGATTAGGCATTCATTTCCCTCCTTCCACCTAGGCCTGTATGCAAACTATCTGCCCATTGCCGAGGGGCTTGGGGACATGGACCTTGGTCTGAGTAAATTTCTACTGTGACAGCTGTTGGTATATAAGTCTACTCCCCTCTGAAATAAACTGGCATTCTCCTTGCAACAATGAGCCACTGTCTTGTCTTTATTTAACCCTCAGATTCCCTTGCCCGAACCTGTGAAATGTTGTAACACTGGCCATTATTACAAAGTACAAATGTTTGCACAGAGACACATCCAGGCAAAACACTCATACACATAAAATAGTAATAATAAATCAAAGAAGAGACATTTTGGGGATGGAGAGATGGCTCAGCAGTTAAGAGCTCTGGCTGCTCTTCAAAGGACCTGGATTCAATTCCCAACAACTACATGGCAGCTCACACCTGTCCATAATCCCAGTTCCAGGGCTTCTGACAGCCTCACATAGGCATACATGCAGGCAAAACACCAATGAACATAAAATAAAAACAACTCCTTTACCTCTACCCTCCTAAGCACTGAGATTACAGGTCTACACCCTACATCAGTAAAAAACATCTTTTCAGACATTTTTTTTTTCCTGTCTAATATGCTAAGGATATTCTTTGGCACTGTAATAAATTCACCTACACTTGGGTCATAAACAAAACAAAATCTGTATGTTACAAAGCCTTCTTTGGATTTCATCTTTAAAGCAGAATACACTTTTTGCACTTACATACAGAAGTAGTAGCAGCGATCAATCTTGTATTTGAGACCACACCAAATTCCTAGAGAAAAGTGAATGAGATCAAGTACTTACTAACCCAGTAAATATTAAAGATATCTGAGATCTATTCAGAAACAGTTTTTCCAAGCTCCTCTCATGTTTACAGTCTGTTCAGTTGCTACCTACTTAATGGATGAAGCATTTAAATTTCTAAATGTATTACCTTTCCTTAAAATTTCAATAATTTGGGTTGGAGTATAGCTCAGAAGTATATTGTATATTGTATATTGCTTATCCAGAATGTTCAATCCTTAGCACAATTAATCAGCCAACCAACCAATCAATAAATAAATGCTGATACTACTCAGAAGACCAAACACCAACAGTTCTGAAAGAATGAAACAGTTATAATGAAATATAAGGCTTTGTAGGTAAGTTATTTTCTTTTCAACCTGATATACTACCATCATAAAATAGCTAAAGTTTATCATGTAATGTACTTAATACTCGCATTTAATTTCAGATAAACCACTTAAGATTCCTAAACCATTCACTTAATATGAATGTAAAAAAAAACAAGAATGGTCCTTTATTTAATAAAACTATTCAAATACCTTTAATTAAAAATCTGTAATCTAAGGGGGGCAGTGGTGATGCCTTTAATCCTAGCACTAGGGAGACAGAGACAGGAGGATCTCTGTGAGTTTGAGGCCATCCTGGTCTATGCCTTAGTTTCCTCATTTATAAAATGGGATGTAAATGTTACAACTCTAAGGGGAAAGACTTCCCTTATGACAGTGTTGACAGTTCTGAAGAGAAGTACCCCCAATGGTGGTATCACAGCTGAGGGGAAAGGCTTACCTAATGCAGGCATTGTCAGCTGAGGGGGAAGGTTTCCTCAATGAAAGTACTACAGCTCTGAGAGGAAAGGCTTCCCCCATAGAAGTGCTGCATGTCTAAAGGGAAAGGCATCCCGGCAATCAGGAGCCAAGGCATTCTACAAAGTCACGCTGCACAACAAACCTCACACAAGAGATTTATTGGGAGGGAAGGAAAACCCAGGAGGGTGGCTGCCTCTGCTTGGATGAGAAGCAGTAGGGAACTGATTAGAAGGCAGGCTTTATATAGGGTTTCTTGGTGAGCAGAGAATTCCAGGGTAGTATGGAATTGGTGGGATTTTTGTGGCCTGATTTTGTGCAAGCTCAGGGACTGGTGGATTCTTTTTCTTAATCTTGGTCTCAGGTTATTTAAGAGTCAAGGTGTTCTCTCCCTGGCTCTGGTCTCAGATCAAGTCAAGGTCAAGGCCCTTTTAACCTATTGCTATATACTCTACAGTTATAGGATTAAACAAAAACTTATAGTCTCATTAAAGCATCTGATACATAGTAAGTGCCATATTTATTAAATATATAAAATTACTTGCAAGATGTATGTATTATCTTGTATAAATTACCCCTTAAGATTATCCATACAAAGGCAATATAAAAAAAGATTAACTGTACATAATATTATAGGTTGATGAAGAGCAAAAAATTGTTTTATACCTCTACTTTGGATGCCAGAAACACACATGTAGGAGCCATTAATACAGGATCTATACTTTTCAGAGAATACCTAAAACATGATTAGACAAGAGTTAAATTATGTCCATTTAGAAGACACACTGGGTAATCAGGCAATCATAATTCTATAGCAATCAAGTGACTTACTTATATATGGCATATGGAAATCAGAAGAGAACCTCAAACAGGCTAACAAAAAAATAAAACAGCCATACCTGGCATAGAACCTCTTGAAATAGACTGTAGCAGTAGCAATAACCTGTTGTCTTAATTTAAGATGTTCACCTAATGCTTGGATGACTAAAAGGGAAATAATAAAATTTTAATGTTTCACCTGGCACCATTATAGTAACATTAATAACATTAACTTTTAACAGTAATTTCTACATGTTAGAATTATGTCCACTCATAGCTAGGCACTCTCTGACACCCTCTGATCCACAGCTGCCTAAGACTTGCAAATATAGCAACATGCAAAACCAAGAAATAGAAACCACCTACAAGTTATCTTGCTATAAGGAAGTTGACTATCAAATATTCCTTTTAATACTTTTCAGATTATTTTCATAAAAAGTCCTAACTCTTGCAGAAGACCCAAGTTCCATTCCCAGCACCCACATGGTGGCTCACAATCATTTGTAACTCCAGTCCCTAGGGATCCAAGCCTCCTTGTCACTATATAACATATAGTGCACAGATACACATGCAGGCAAAATACCCATACATAAAAAAAAATAAAATTTATTTTAAAAAATACCAGGCAACAAAGCTATCCCAGCAGAGTAAAGGTCTCCTGACTAAACCCCCTTCTTTTTTTTTTGTTTTTTGTTTTTTGTTTTTTGTTTTTAGAGACAGGGTTTCTTTATGGCTTTGGAGGCTGTCCTGGAACTAGCTCTTATAGACCATACTGGTCTTGAACTCACAGAGATCCACCTGCCTCTGCCTCCCAAGTTCTGGGATTAAAGGCATTCACCACCACCACCCCGATTTAAACCCCCTTCTTCCTAATGTAAAATTATAAGGTAAAAATGACAACTACAGGATGCCAATTTAAAGAATTACTTATTTTTACTTTGTCTTAACCAACCTTAAAAGAGGCCGCACTAGAAATACCCAAGGACATTAGCTAACACTGTGCTTCCAACACATAAAGTGCAAAAAGTGTTACCAAGCACACTAAAACGATAAATGTATAAATAAGAACATTAACTATAGACTGCAATAATCCATTGAAAATTACCACAAACAAGTCTCAAAGGTGACCAGCTATACTATACTACTTCAACCAACTTAAAATTGTACCATTTGTAAAAAATATTTGTAACTTCCAATACTCTTCTTCTGAGAGAAATTTTAAGTCCTTCTGGCGCTCTTTCAACAGATCTTGTTTATCCAAAATCCACTGCAAACTGGAAAAAGTAAAGAAGATAATAAAACACAGTGTAGAACGCCAACAAGCAAAAGCACCTAAAACTTTTTAAGATTTAACAAGCTGATCTATTCTAAGAAGTACATTCCTTTTTTTCTCCTCTGAGACAGGGTTTCTCTTGTAGTCATGGCTGTCCTGGAACTCACTTCTGTAGACCAGGCTGGCTTCACATTCAGAGATCCACCTGCCAACAACACCTCACCCCCATCACTGCTAGGTTTAAAGGCATGTGGTAACATACCCAGCTTCTTCTTCTTTGGAGGTACATCCGTAAAAGACAATGTCTGGATAGAAATATATCAGAGGTAGACAAAGCACTAGCCTATCATAGAAATACACACACACACACACACACACACACACACACACACACACTGTTAGCATTAATTCTTCTAAATAGGTCTCTAAAATATTGAGTAAATTATATAAAACAATGAAAATCTTGAGTCCTTCAACACATGTTCACCCATTTTAAGCAGATTCTGCCTCAGAGGAAAATAAATATTTTTCTAATGAGATTTTTTTTTTCAACCAGAATTTTCACTATCATCCCTCAAGTTTCACAGTCTTGTCGACAAACCAATTTAATCCCTTTGGTTCTTGACACTACTTGTTGACTGTTTTGCTGACTATCTTCAAATAATTCTGTGTCAGTTTGCTGTGTTTGACTCTCATTCAGTCTGGTCACTAAATAAGGATGTCATTTTAAACTCTCAGGGGAGTCACTCATATGATTTCTCTAGCTTTTCAGCAGCTCACCTACAGCCCCAGCAGGAAAAAATAGGAGAACTTGAGGGCAAAGAATTGGCTTTAATCCCAGCACTCTGGAGACAGAGGCAGGCGGATCTCTGTGAGTTAGA